GTTCAGGGGTCTCAAACTCCAGTCCTCGAAGGCCACTGTCCTGCAGTTTTTAGATGTACCACAGGTACAAAAGTGAGAATGAAATGGCTTAATTATCTCCTCCTTGTGCAGATCAGTTCTCCAGCACCTTGCTAATGACCTGATTATTCTATTCAGGTGTGGTGCAGCAGATGCACATCTAAAAGATGCAGGACACTGGCCATCAAGGACTGGAATTTGGGCCCCCAAGGGTAGTTAATAGACTGGAATCTACATGTTCATGAAGAGGTGAGCTTTCTTCAGTTAGTAGAGTTGCCCTTGGTGGGTTGGTTCATTCAGAGCAGGGCCTGGAACTCCAGTCCTCCAGGGCCAGTGTCCTGCAACATTTATGCTTCCCCAGTCCAACACTCCTCAAACGGTTGAATAACCTCCTCAGTATGGAGATTCTGGGAGTGCCCAACTAAGTGATGACCTCACCCACTAGAGCTGTAACTCAGCTGTAAAGGAAAACCACCCAAACTGCTTAGAGTACAGTTGAACCAGGTCAAGCTTCTACTGAATGCATTGGAAAAGAACAATGGAGATCCTTGTTAGTACTTGTAGATGTTGATGTGTGCTGCTGTAGAGACTGTTGTTTTCCTTTGTCTTTCAAACTAACCAAATTGTCTCTCTTGGTTGATTGACTGACATAATGTAGAACCATAAATAAGATGGGTACTCAGGCTTTGATAGATAAGCCAAGCCATGTCCTGTTGTAGTGTTTAGTGACAGAAAAAGCTCTACCATGACTAGGAGTGTGGAATGTTACAGAGAATTCCTCCTCTGTGGAGTTTCTCTCCCCCACAGAGAGAGCTGCTGTTATCTCTGAGGCCTGCTCTACCGACAGAAAGCTGTTCACTGCACATAGTTCATGCCTCTCCCTCTATGTAAAAAACAGTGGCGTGCAGAGACCTTTGAAGAGCCGGAGCTTAAAATTAAAAACAGCCACATAGATCAAGATTGAAAAACAACAACATATCAACAACCCATATTAATAAAGATTGTAATATTTAATCAGATCATATCATGTTATTGTCATCACGTGGGGGCAATGCAAAGCAAATATAGTCTATATTTTCCACACAGGTATAAAATTGCTGTTTCTGCTGCTGACAGAGCTGAAGGGCTGCGCTGATCTGGGACTGTAGTTGTTAAACAGAGGAGAAAAGGTTGCTGGTTTTGAAGCATGTTATGAAATAAGCAAATTTGCTATTTTACTAAATAAACCCTAAAGATATCTGATTGTTTCATCTCCATAGCAACTTGGCTGCAGACTGCTTTGAAGATCAAAAAAGCTCAGAGGGGTTAGCTCCATAATTTCTCAATGTCAACACCTCTGAAATCTAGAATTAAGAGATCAATTATTTTCATTATATTGTGTCATTCAACAACATGTTGAGAAACATTCATGCATTTAAGTTTAGTCAATTACTGTGAGAGCATATTCACAGGTCTGCCTAAAAGAACCTATCAGAGGTCTACTGAAGGTCAGGGGCCCCTTTCAATGAGTGAATTATAAGTTTTAGGCCATAGATCTAAAACTTCAGCATTTGTTTATTGAGAATGACAGTGCTATTAAATCTGATTTCATGGTTTCAGCAGAAAAAAAAGTACATTGAGGATTTCATTAAGAAGTTTACTTTGTAAAAGTGCACAAGATAATCTTGATAGTTTGATTATTGTGTTACCATGGTTACAATCTGATGCTGTCTTTAATCTTAGTGTTCAAGCTGAGTTTGTTCACAAATACATCACAGCAAGTAATAGAAATCGCATGACTGTTCACACACCATGACACAAAGCAGTCCACCAGCTCTCTACAGTCAGCTCCTTCTCCATTGTTGATTCACCTGACAACTGCAGAGTCATCTGAGTATTTCTCTACTTGACAGAAATCAGACTTGTGTGGGATGTCTGAAGTGTAGAGAATAGGGATATCCTGATCCTGAAATTTATATCACAACATATATTGTGATAGTTGGCGGTAACAATATATATCACAATATGATTTGTATGAAACTTACAAAAGAAACAAAAAAAATCCTACACTAATTGAGTGAAATGTATCTGTATGATTTAAAACTTGTTTAACACTTGTTTTTGTGCATGTTATCATTTGCACATAATGTTTACCTATTTTTTTTATCATTGGTAATGATGTCAGCAGCTTAATCTCAATGACAACTATGTTGTTCAATCAAACTTACATAAATAATTGAAAAATTAAATCTCTATACAGAAATACACCAACTTTAATGTAATGCCTGTCTGTGTCAAATCCTGCCTTTTCGTTCCAGTGTTATGAATGGAGCTTGTAGAAAGGTGCATTGCTGGTATTCAACCACATGCTTCATTTTAAGGTGATAAAACAAATAGCTTGTATTTCTTATCTTACACACACTTTGCAGATTAAATTTTTCTGCTCCTGATGTGACCCTCTTTCAATCTTAAGACACAGGACCATTTAGACTGCAAGAGTTTTTTTACTCTGCGCACAATTCGGCAGGGTCGCACTGAGCCTGTGTGCGCTTTTATGATGTTTTCTTTTTGTGGTTTTGGAAACACCATTACACTGTCACCCGAATCCCAGGTTGCTTGCTGTGATATTTGCTGTGCTCCTCCTAAGCACCACGCTATGTCTGCAGGAGAGTCAAGAAGACGGGTCCATTAGACTCACCGAACTGAATCCTATAGGCGTCCAAGTGGGGTGCGTATGTTTACACCGCTTAGTTCCCCACTGTGTGACTGTGACATCTGCTGCACTCCTCCTAAGCGTCATGCTAAGTACCGGTGTGTGACCCTGGTGTGTGAACCAGGTGTGTGAACCAGGTCCAGATCATTTATGTTTTGCACCTGCCTTCCCTCACGCTCTCAGCAAGCTGTTTTGATGCCGAAGGTTACATCATCAACAAGCATTACCACGGTTAGCTGGTAGACTACAAATCTTCATCGCAGGCCAAATTTCTATTGTTTCTACTATATACTGTTTGTATCATGCATTCCAAGTAGAGAGTGAAAAGGAATGATGAGAGATACCAGGGACCCTGCAGGAGAGAGTGACCTTTCACGATTATGAAAACTTTAAAAAGACTTTGCAGTAGGTTTTTGTTTTGTATTTTTGTGATTTATATATGTTGTTCTGAGCGGTTTTCTTGTGGTAGATTAAACTCCTTACTGCAGCATCTGATTTGTGTTCCTGTTTCACACGGAGAAGCTTAGCCTGCAGGGTTGACCTAATGGCACAGGTGCTTTGCATGCACTACCTATCAGCATAGAGCCAAGGACCAGTCACGGTGACTGGGAGTCACTGTATAGGTTGTATTCAGCATCATGTAAAATGATGCTGAATGCAACCTATAAGTTTGAGCTCTGTTCAATGAGTACATTGCAAAGTACATGTCTATTACCGAATACCTCTACCTTTGGAGGCTCACTAGCGACCATGTTTCATGATCTACTTTACTTCAGGTGTTGTGTGGCTCTGTCTGACCATGTTAAAGTGACTACATGTTAGTAAGTAGCCCAGAGCACTCCAGCGACAGCTAAGCCGCTTACTGGCCAGCTGGAGATTAACTGGAAAGTCCCCATTTCATAGGGGTCCACAAACAGACACGCACAGAGCCAGTCATGTAGGGCTTAGTAAGGCAGGAACAATCTGCCAGCTCAGTATCAAGCTTTTTGTACTCCTCTAGAATAAATAAAGTGATTGAATGGAACAGGGGTCTGCAACCTGTTGCCCCTCAGCCTCATTTGGCTTTTTGGGCCCTTTACAGAGACTCCTAGCTTTGCATAAAAATATGTACAGAACAATAATAAAAAATAGTCTGTTTTTCACAAAATGTCATCAATTGTACAAGTCAGTCAATAGTACTGGGGTATTATTTATTTATTAAATCAATTACTCTCTTTTGTTTAATTGGTTTAACACAATCTCAAATATTTTCAACTTCTGTTGAAAATATTTTTCTGTTCAAAACGTAGAAAGACAAATGAAAATTATATTTAGTTTAATCAAGCAAACTTTTTTTTTACATTTCAAGTGTCAAAGGCTGCAGTATGTTTCTTCTAGAGGTCATGGATGGTTTGTGCCTCCATACAAACTTTACTAGGGAGGAGGGAGCACAGAAATGGCTCCTTTGGCAGTGAAGCTTGCAGACCCCTGGGTTAGATCGACTGAGAAGGAAAAACAAGGTCTTCTTATGATGTTTCAAATCGCAGATCTACAAGCTCCCAGAATGTTAAACTCTTTCTGATGACAGAGTCAAAGGAAAGCCTAACAGATCTATAGTAACATATTTTTGTTTTTGTTGTTAAACACATTGATGCTTGGTGAGATGAGATAAGATTGCTGTGATACTTATTAACCATTGCCTGCAGGTATTTTCTAGAGAGAAAAGAGGAGACAAAACCTGGGGAGGTGAAAAGTTACAAACTTTTAAGGTTGGCAACTTTTATCAAACACAAATTTTCTCCATAAAGCTAAATCTACGTTTAATGTTTAAAAACTGCATGACTGGTTGCCTCATCACAAGAAGGTTCTCAGTTCAATTTCAGTCTTTCTGTGTGAAGTTTGCATGTCGATGATGTGACAGTTTAAGCAGAAAAGCAATGTCCACAATGTGGTCATTTTATAAGTATATACAGTATGAATAATCAGCCATAACTGCAATATTAATATTGGATATCAATATTACCTTGAATTTTTATATTGGCGCACCTGTGTTTTTGATAGAGGGCTTAGTTAAATGTATATTTAATAGCTGCCTAAAAATTGTTATTTAAAAGTAGTTAATATTTATAAATATACATTTACAATATACATGTGTGATTACATGTATATTACAAATGTATATTTGTAAATTAGCATTTTACAAAAAAACTCTCCAGAAGTGTTTGTCATATTTATCTTTCATTCTATTCTACTTTGTCTCCACAGTGTATTTTAGCATTTCTACCAAAGGCAGAAATATAAGAGAATATGTCATTATATTGAAAACAATACATCCAGTCGAGAGAGGGAGGGACAGGAAAAAAGAGTGATGTCAGCAGGGAAGAAGAGAAGGGAGGACTGCCTTGCTTTTTCCTGTCTCCAGCCCCCTCCTCCCTCCTCCTCTTATCAGCGTGCCAGAGAGAGAAAGGCGATCAGAAGGAGAAGTAGACGGATTAACAACTAGCACTGAGGCCATGGGACAAGATAAAATGAAAACAAAGCTGGGATTGACTGCAAAGAAGTGAAGGAAACAACACTTGTTTATTGACTAATACTTAAAGATTAGCAGATGCTAACAAGAGGGAATAAGAAACCAAAAAAGAAAAGTGAAATTAGACAAGAAGTTCAGGCATAAGGGTCAGTGCTAGCAGAGAGGAACTGGCGCTTTATCAGGAAGCAGGTGGAGCCATTACAGAGAGACACCGGTGTCCAGCATCACAACTACCATGTACAGTGGATATGGAGGTATGACAAGCTCACTGAGACTGTCTGAAATGTTTAATTGTGTTTGCAGGATGGCTTCAGGTTGATGGCTGTAACTTATGAAGTGAGTTCATTCCAAAAAGCTGAAATTCAAATTATTCAAAGGCCTAAAAAGAGGATAGCAATGGACGATCTGTCTTATAATGTCTTCTCATGGAACACATTATAACATTACAGTTAGAACATTACATTTATTGACTCAGTTTAATAGGTTTAATAGGACTCTGGTCACATGGCTGTAAATGACCACTGCCAGCTCATAGTCACAGCCTGGTTCTGTTTAGATCCAGATTTACAGAATCTAAACAGATATATCTGTTTAGATTACAGATTGTGGTAATCTCACCACAACCGTGAGAAATGATTCATCCAGTAACAACACTCCACTCCATTTAATCCTGCCGTCAGCCTGGACAAAGATTTGATTTCTGGTGTTTGTTGATTATGGTATTTCTTGAGTTGTTGGCTACGATTGTCACACCATTGTTTTCCTGGTAACTGATCAATCACCAGAACATCCAGCTGCTTCTCTGTCACTTGTTTGTCAGTCTGGATTTGGAAATCCAAACTTGTCATTCCAGTGCTAAATTATGGTGTCTTGTTTTTGCTTTGGACCCTCCAACAGATGTTACTGTATTCCATTGCAACTTTGGTGTTTTCTGTAGATTTTCCCAGCCTGCATTGTGCAGCTTACACCCTCAGGGCCTCCTAGACGGCCTGAATGTGGGGTCCGGGGTTGTGTGGTAGACCTTGATATTCTGTGTTTCACTATGCTGTAACTGCTACTCTGCTCAAGTTGGAACTTTTCTTTCTTTGTCTTTTTCTTCCACACTGGGTTAAAACCGCTCAGAACAACATATATAAATCACAAAACTACACTGGGTAGTGTGGAGGGCTGTTAAATGAAAGCCCTCCACAGTTTCTTCATATCCTCAGATAGATAATTTTTACCACTGTGTTTTTATACAGCTTCATAAAGAAAGTACAGTTTCTTTATAAAACTGTTCATAAGGAAAATACACTTTTCTTTATAAAATTTGTTTTTATATTTTAATTACTTGATTAAATCAATCTTCATTAGGGTTTGAAATTATTTGTTTGATGTACAGCTACCCAAACAAAGCTTACTCTTTGTGTATTTTATAATCTGGTTGTTTCATATTTTCTGAAAATGCTGCAGGGTTTGTTTCTGTGACTCAGTTTAGCCAGAACTGAACTGAACTAATCTTTTTCCGGGCCCTGCCCTTCACAGGATGTTACTTCCCCTGGGGTTTCCTTCTCCTAAAGCACAGTGATGTGAAGTGGCCACTTTTTCAGCCAATAGGTTTGGTCATTTAATGAAAGCTGTTCAGGATCTTTTTCAGTGGGTCATTCAGTAAGTTTTTTTTTCTTTTCAGGTTCAACAGGATTGTCTGAATTTTACGACTTTCTGAAATTCTTACAATTTAATCACATTTCAGATTCCAAGCTACAAACGGCTGCTTATTTTAAACAACTAGTTCAGAAGAACTGATTGCAGATCTGTCAAAGAGGGTCTATATTGAACAAGATTGCTGTCAATAAAAGAAAACAGAGGTTGGAGCAAGTTTTTGTGTTTTTTGTGGAAAGACAACTTTGGATAGACATAGTGAGCTAAGTGGATGGAAACTGTGGACCTGGGAGGGTGATTATTGTGCTGGTTAACACTGTGAGGGGTAGGAAGGTGTGTATATGTGTGTGTGATCAGAGGACAGAATGGTTATCCAGAAAGGTCTGGGAGAGAAAGGTCAGACTGTTCAAACAAAAGCTGTACTGTCACATGCTTCATCAGCTCAGAGGCTTTCAGTGTGGCACATCCAGTGGTGATTTGGGATCATCAGGAGCTGTGACTGGAATCTGTTATCAATGGATAGAACTGATCAGGTACGTATCTGCAGATTGTAACATATTTCACCTGAGATGACTTTACTCAGCTCTTGATGAAGCTGATAGGATTTGATTATTAACTGACATGAAGGCAAGCTCTGACCTAACCTTTTCTTCTAACATTCTCAGAGAGCAGGCAAACAGTTTTTATGACACATAACTATAAGGAAATGAAGGAGGGAAGAGCCTGTTGAACCTGGTGTGACCAAGCCTTCTGTTGCTGGTTCAGTTCATTCCACTTAAATGAATGAGCTAAACTTTCACTTCTCCTGCTAACTTTGTTAACATATGCTAACAAAGTTAGCATATGTAACGAACTTTGTTAGTTAACATATGCAAAGTCAACAAATAATTGAGTCCATCTAAAACATGTAATATTATTTCTATGTTGGGAAGTATACGTTAGGATTAGGTGGAAAGTTTGTTCTGCTTGTTTCTTTAATACAGACTACTTTTCTAAAAGGATCAGATGAAAATTCTTCTGCTACAAAGAAGGTTTTCCTTTAGTTTGAGCAGAGCTGACCTTTTCTCGTCAGCCTGTTGGGCTATCTTCCTATACGAGGTTTCCTGTCAAAGGAAGCAGTAACATCTGACTTCCTGTAGAATTTTGACGTTTCCTGTGCTGTTTGACAGACAGCGTGTAAAGGCCCTCTGAGCACTTTGAGAGAACAGGATACCGGATACTGGAAAGGACAAGGTCAGAAAACAGTGCTTGCTCTGAGAAAAAAATATTTGCTGACTTAACACTTAAAAACGGAACAATGTTCCGCATGAAGAGTTTCAACCATGGTAGAACATCAATAAAAATACATTAAGGATTAACAACTGGATGAAATGTAAGCAAAAAACTTACTGAACCTTATGAGGTTCCTTTAGGTCATCACAGTAAGACATTCTGGATCACCTAAATTGTTTTCTAATCAGTTGTATTTATCCACAGCAACATGTGATACCATACAGTGTCTCAGAAATACTCTTGCCTCTTGAACCTTTTCGCATTTTATCACATTACAAGCACAACATTTGGGGGGGATTGCATGCGATAGGCTGTGTAAGACAAAAACATAAGAAGTCCAGTTTTAGTTTATGTAGGAATCCGAGCAAAAATCTGAAAGAAGGCTCCACAGGGCTTCCCCCAGAAAGCCTGCTTAGCCCAGTGGTAGGGACACCACCGGGCTTAGCAGGTTCACCAGCAGCATTTGTATTAAAAATGATAAAAGTTACAAAAATCCAAAAGTGCATGAGCAGGCAGCATAATTTGGAAATAATAGCGTCTGAGACCAACGGGCAGGTAGAGTTCTTTCTGAGACATTAGTCCTCTAATTCTGGAAATGTTCTTGAGGTCATAGAAGGTCATCGTTGTAACTGTCTTTGTTTGAATCTGAAGGTTCAGGTCAGAGTCCATCTCTACACCCAATTTTCAGCCTGATCTCTAGTAATAACTGAAGCTGTGCATTGACTCTAGATGGTTCCTGTTTGGGTCCAAAGACAGTATTTTTTTTTTGTTTTGTTTCTGTTCAGCTGTAGAAAGTTGTAGCACATCCACAAATTTACCAGATGCTTAGAAACCTTGAATGGGTTTGGAGTCATCTGGTGACGTCGTAAGCTGTGTATCACCTGCATAGTTATTGTTGCTAATCTTATTTTCTGTTATAACCTGAGCTGGTGGGAGCATATAGATACCGAATGAGAGGGCTCCTAAGATTGAGCCTTGGGGTACCCCACATGTGACTTCTGTCCTTTTCGATGAGAATTTTCCCATTGAAGTAAAGAAATCCTGTTCTTTATGTAAGATTCAAACCAGTTCAGTTCTGGACCAGAGAGTCCAACCCGGCTCTCCAGTGGTTCCAGTAATATGTTACACCTAACACTGAGGTCCAACAGAACCAGGACTGTGGGTCTTCCATAGTCTGTATTTATATGAATATCACTGAACACTTTGATGACGGCAGTCTCTGTACTGTGGTAACCTTGGAAACAAAACTGAAAGACTTCAAAGCGCTTGGTTATAGTTAGAAAGCTATTCAACTGTTTGAAAATTTTTTTTTAAAAATTTTGACTGTAAGCTGGCGATCGACCGATAGTTTTGCAGTAGTGATTTGTCCAGATTATTCTTTTTGATAAGAAAGCCTGGGTGAAAAAGTCATTCTTTATGCATTTGTTATGTTTGGGCATAGCATTGATACACGGGGATAAGTGTGGATTTCCAGATTAACCCTATTTTTTCTTTTTGTATTTTTTTTTTTTCTTTTCTCTGCTAAACAGTTGGAAAATTCATCGCACTCTGTGTTTGATTGCAGTTCAACTGGTCCATCCTGTCAACCATTGAAAATAAAGTTCAAGCATTGTTAATGTTTTTTTTATGATGTCTGCAAAGAATGCTTCCCTTTCATGTTTTAGTGCTGCATGATAGCTACACAGTCTTTCTGTGTAGATTTCATAATCTGTCATGAATTGAGATTTGATGGTAAGGATTGATGCAGTTAGACCCAGGGTTGAGGTGCAGAATGATGGTTTTCATGTAGATCACAGATGAGTACAAAGTCCACACAGCACAGGTGAGCATTGAGACAAAGAACTCAGACACTGGTAGCACTTGGAAGGCAGACGCAGGAACACGACATGACTCCTGACTTTGGATTAGGACCCAAGAGAGAAAAAAAAACACAGTTGATGTGTTAGAGGATAATCAAGGGGAAACAAGAGGCAGCTGGAGACAATCAAGGGGAAGACAGGACACAGACTCAATTAAGCAGAAACGTACACACAAAAAAAAAATCTTTACACAATGATTGTAAGTTGGCTGGGTTGTCTTGCAGATCTAACCGTTTGTGCATTTCATGGAGACTTGATCCTACCAGAACAAGTCTTCATGTCGAGACATATGTTGATGTCATGCAAAACACTGAATTTTCTTGTTGCTGAAACCCTGCCTTTTTTACTTTACATGTAGTTTTTTTATATTATTCTTGTACTTTTAATATATTTGTGAAATAATCCCTGTTCATTATATTAAAAATGAAATGCATTTAAGTCATGTTTGAGTAGAGTGGATTAAGAATCTTGATGAGGTGCATGTAAAGAACTGATAACAAGTAAAAACGTTTTTGTGTTTTGTTTGTTTAATGCAGGGAGTCCATCACGAACTCTGTCCACCATGTCTCTGTCTGTCCGTCCAGTCAGACGCATCACATCCAGGTCCATCACTAGAAGCCAGAGCTTCACTGGAGTTAACACACAGGAGAGGCCTTATAGGTACACACACACACACCTGCCTAGTATTCAAATACAAGGCCACACACACATGTTATCATCCTATCATTCCAAGACATGGTGATGTTTATGACAAGATCAAAAGATCATAATGCTAGCATTATGATGGCATCCAATTCTGTACTTGGCTTATACTTCTATATTTTTACAAGTATATTGTAAAAATGTGAGAGATCATGTGCATATGAATTTATAATGGCATATTATTGATGATGAGGACATTGATCAGTTGTGTTTCTCTAATGTTGCAGGAACCTCTCAGTATTCAGCACTCCTGGTATCAGCAGGAAGTCCAGCCGAGCAAGTGGGCTCTTTACTATGTCTACCAAAGCCAACTCACCACCGAAAGTTCCTCAACCAGAGCGGTTGGATGAGATCTACAATGCTCTGAAAAAAGGGCTCCAGTGAGTAGCTGCTCCTGTAGAAGTATCAAACTGCCCCATTTATCAGCATACCTGTTAAAGACTTAGAAAATGACTTAAAATATATTGGTTCTCTATTCAGGAGCATCACATCTCTTTGGAAAATATAAACAAATTCCATCTGTCAATCTCATGTTGATAAAATATAATTTTTAACAAAATCACTGTTGACACATCACATGTACTCCCTTACTTTATAAAGAGAGATCATAATTACACTTTAGATATCATTTGCTCTTTTTCTGCACATGTAATGGAGTCCTAAATTATTCCTTCTTGTAATAAATTTAGGTTTAAAGTAATATGTTGATTTGATCAACAAGTTGCTTATGACTGGGACTAATAATAATGTCCAGAGTTTAGATCTGGATCTAATAGAAAATCTGGAAAGGAAGCATTAGGGTAATGGTAAGGAGGTATTCCAACCTCAGAGACTTGGAGCTCATCACTATATAGAAATTATCAAAATACCATTGGAGACATGCACAAAGCTGCTTATATATGGATGGACAGACGGACGGACGGACAGACAGATAGACTGATAGATAGATAGATGATATGAATTATGTGAATTCAGATCATATAATTGACACATTAAGCAGTGCACAGTAAGCCCAACAGAATAAGCCTTCATAGAGACAAATAAGGTGATGAACAAAGACATATGGAATGATGTACACAACTGACAGCGCCAGGGATGCTCTTTACTTCCTGTAGTGTCAACCCATCAAGGGTCATAGTGTCATAGCCAGAGTGTGATTGATGACAGAATGGAAAAGGTGTCGGCATCTTCCATTTTGGAATATATATATGTGTGTTTGTGTGTGTGTATGTGTATGTGTATGTTAGTTTTATTAAATAAAACAGACCAGTAATACTCTTAAGCATTGTTTTGTTATCTTTTGAGACAAACTCAAAAGAAACAAACTTCCTGGTTGAATGAACATCCTTTTATATTTAGATTTGACAGGATATTATATAGATTAAATCTGTATGATGTCTCACACACACATTTATTTTAGCCACAAACTGAGAGCCTCGATGAGAATCTAGATTTCTCTGCGACACACAGAGAGTAGGACTTTAATCCAACTCTCCATAGGAACCATGAACCTTGTTACAATGGCTGAATCAAACTTATTGAAAAACCAGAACATCTTAAATAAGACTCTTCCAGAAACCTGAATATGTCTCTTCATCAAGTTCAACAGCAGTACAGTTATCCAGAATTTTCATTAAATCAACAGAGAAATGACTGATCTGAATGTGGGAGCTGGAGGACAGAGAAACAGGGAGGATTCAGGAGTGTGCACCTTTTGGTGCCAAGAAAATTTGACTTATTGGGAAAAGGGGTTGAACAACAACAAAACAGTTACATCTTGAGCTTTTCTTCCTACAGAGTAAATGCTTTTAAGTTACAATTTAGATTCTTTTAACATTTTCAGTGAGATTATCTGCTGCAATAAAGACTATGTTTTAACAATCAGCTGTTTTTCATGAGGCTTGTTTCCATCAGATTAGACTCCACGCACATTTCAATAAACTTTATTTTCATTCTGACGGATTGTGTGTGTTAAAGGTCTTACCTGCATGTTTACCAAATGGATCTGGAAAACATCAACAGACAGATTAGAGTGTCTAAGAGAAATTCCAGACTGGTATGCTCTGATCACTCTGCACACAAACTGAAAATTCACTCTTCATGTCTTTAAATACAACTCTGGTGACTTGATGTTTTTTTTCTTTTCTTTAGGGTTTCCTTTATGAGTTAGATAAGGTGAGCTACAATCCCGTTTCTAAACTGCAGTGTGTAAAATGGTGATAAAATGGTCCAGTAAGCGAAGTGGTGTGAATTTGCCTCTGCTTTTTCCCTGACAGCAAGTTAAGGTGATTGAACGATACATCACAAAGCTGGAGTTTCATCTCAGTAAGGTAAGAGCCACAAAACCCATGCTTTGTTGATTGGATACTCTTTGTTGATCCAGTTTGATTAGTCTCAGATTAAAGCTCCTTTTGAAGTTGTTATAGTTGAGACGAAATGTTAAACTAAATGCTTTTGGCTAGTGTACCGTTGCACACTAGCCAGAAGCATAGATAATAGGTGGTGAATTAAGTCACTATCATTTTGTCAGTAAATGGTATTCACTGACAAACATGCTTTATCACCAAGTTAAGCACAGATAAGAAGTTTGAGTGTGATTGGCTCTGAATGGAGATCGGTGATGAGAATAGAAATGATTCAGCCTGCAGTTGGAGCTCTGCAGACACAGAGTAGGCCTTGCATTAGACCAAATTAGCAGCAGTGTCACTTTTGTGTCATATGGCTGACACTGTGACAAACAGCTACATGTCTGCAGTCAAACAGCTTAATGGTAAAAGGGGAAATAAAATAAAGACATTTCTGACAGTTCTTGCAGCTGTGACAGTCACAAACTGTCATCACTGGTCTTTGATGGACCAAATGTGTCTCGATAGATCCATTCCTTTAACCTGGGTAACTGGTTCTGTCAGTGAATCTATTCTTGTAAAATTGCATCATTTGTCATCATGAGTTACAATTATAGCGTTTCCTTTTTAGATCATGTCTTGCAAATGCTGAGTGTGGTGTTTTCTGGTCAGTCTCCTTTTGATGATGATGTGTTGATGTTGCAGAAAAAAGACTCTCCATGCTGCAAACTTTGGTTGTTTATTACAATATTGCAGCACGACTGAATTGTGAGGAAATCTTGGCCCAATCATAATGAAATCCTCCCAATCACTGGACAACATCCCGTTTATAGGGTTCTGGCCATCACACTCTCTCCCCAAAGTTTACATTATTACATGCCTGTCTTACTGATATAAGCATGTTCAAGTTGAGGCAGCGATATGTCTGCTAATGCATCTGGAGTCCATATATGAAACCTGTTTTTTGAACTCTTCGTCTCTTCATGGCTGATTCTTTTGCACAGTGCCAAAAAAAGTTCTCATGTGTGATCAGATACTACATGTGTTTCTTATTTATGATCACAAGTCTAGACACAGACAGTTCTACCAGTTACAAATTCCCAAAATGAGTAACACTGATCTTGCGCTCCAAAACCTCTTGATTACTAACGTTTCTGCCTGAACAGAGCTGCTCTTCTGAGATTCGGGTGTTCTCTTCTCAGGTTGAGGAGTTTTATGAAGCCTACTGCCTGCAGAGGAAACTGAGAGATGGAGCACATAACATGATGAAAGCATACACAGCCAACCCAGGAAGCAAGGAAGCTAAGGACAGCCTGGGAGAGGCTTCTAAAGGATACAAGGAATGCACAGAGGTAAGATAAATTGAATTTATTGCATATGAGGAGCCAGATATGACATATATTAAAGCAATCAATTGTGATACTTTAAAGGTATTGTTCAAATAGTGCAGAAATGAATAGATTATGCATTCTCTCTGCAGAATATGTGTGTGATGGAAAATGACTTTGAGAACCAACTTGGAGAATTCCACATCAGATTGAAAGGTAATAAAAACGTCACCACACTTTGCATACCCACCTTCATTTCTCTGGTCCACTCAGGTAAATAACACTGCAATATGGCCTTCCTCCAAGTCTGATATTGTAGCACAGGAGTCCTCCACAGCGACCATCCTGCAACTTTCAGATGCTTCCCTGTTCCAACACAGCTGAATCAAATTAACGTCTCGTTGCCAGGCCTGTACAGAATAAGGAATCATCTAACAGTTGCAGGATGGGAAGCTCTCCAGGACTGGACTTTAGCACCCATTCTGTAGGATATGAACCTTGAGCTCCAGCTATGTCAGATATTTTTAAACATGTCAAAAAAGTTTACTCCATGAGCATCACAAGAATAGGAAAACTTATGTGCCACACACATGCACTTCTGTTATTTGAGTTACTTGAGTGCTTATTACTGTTGAAGGCATTGCAAAAGCCTGAAGTGGCCCTAATGACTGTGCATGGGAGCTCATTCATTCAGATAAATGGTACTTAATGACTTTGGGTGGGTTCTGGGGCCTCACAGAGTTTGTATAGAAATATTCAGGTAATATTGTTTTTTTGTTTTTTTTTTTGTTAAAGATTTTTTTTTTAATAGCATTCATAGGTATGCTTTGGGGTTTTTGGAATTTCTTTCAAGTTCTATGTTGTCTTACTTTTCAGGTCTTGCAGGATTTGCCAGGTTGTGTGCTGGGGATCAGTATGAGGTTAGTCTGCACCTCCGTCTGTCACAGCTAAACAACTTAATGTTTAAACAGTAATATAGATGATGTGTTTCCTTTCATTATTTCAAATCTGACGTTTGGGGAAGATAAACAACATAAAAGTTTTATCACTGGAAGGAAAAAAAATGTTTCTCTGATTTTAGCTGGTAATGTTTTAGGAGTGTAAAAAAGGATTTATTTTGCCAAGCTTTTAAGGACCAGCAGCATGGGCCTCTTCGTTTTAAATGAAGCCAAAATTCATTAACTGTTTCTGGAAACATACTGTTATTGGAAGTCTGCCTAGTGTTATTCCTGCTGAGTCATAATGGGTGGTTTTCCTGTACACGGAAAGCATTTTCCTTTAGCTCCTCATTGTGAACAGGGCAGGTGATAAACAGCTTAGTTCTTCAGGGTAACTGCTGTTTTTGGAGTTCAATCAGAAAATTTGCACACATTCATTACACACATTTCTTCTATAGTTGACATGATATCGCTTACATGCAGATAGAATAGAATGAGAAAACATGTTTTAGGTTCTTATTTATGTGTATAAATGTATTCACTGACATTACAGTTAAGCTAAAGGAATGGTTCAAATTAGACATCACATGGAGACTATGTGTGCTTGTAAAAATCTTTATAGTGGCTGATGACAAATAGCTTCACTTCAAATTCAGCAGTGAGTCTTATCTGTGATACATCATGGCTGATGTAGCCATGATGTATGGCAGCCCCACTGGCTAAACATCAGAGCTGCTCCTGGCAGCACTGTGGAAGGAGGTGTTAGCCTCTGCTAGTGGCAGAGGGGATCCTGATACCACAGTGTGATGTCACTTCCAGCATCAGTGTGTCTAACCACACCTGAAACAGCACCTTGGAACAGTATGTTAAGAAGAAAAAAACCACAGCCAGCATATGGACCTTTGGACCACTATCATCATGTTGACCTGCCAGCAGTCCAACCTTTCAGAGTAAGTCAACTTGTCCCAGAGTTGATGGAGCGTGTCCCAGAGCTGGTCTGCTACAGGAGAGGATGGAGTCACTGCATCTGCTCTGCAGGGCTGTCTGACTTTACTGACTTGAGGCCAGCAGCATTTCCTGACATGTGTTTTAGCTGACATTATATTCAGTGCAGTCACATGACCTTGAGACACATAGAATTTCTCTTCATTTCCACCAACCCAGCCTTGCTATTTCCAGTGAGTGTGTAAACGTGGAAGACACAGAACGCTCTTGGTTTGGTTTCTGTTTGGGTTTTTCTTTTTTTAGATCAGTTTATAGATATGTACACTCCAAGCCTATCTGTATCCTATTCGGTCCAAAATAGACTAAGAAATTCCACTACAAGTTTACATAATATAGTTAAGTTCAAGTCTAGTTTTACACAATTCAATCCCATCCATTCAGATGACAATACATTCTTTCATCAAAAGCCAATCAGTAAAAAGTGTTAAATCTTGGAGCAACAATGAGGAGAAAAAACTCCAAGAAGGAACCTGCGCCAGAAACTGGCTCAGGATAACCAGCTACCTGCCTTGTTCCACTAAAGGGAGACAAGGAGTAAAAAATATCTCAAGAGTCAGGAGAACTTTCTATGATAGCTCAAAGTTAATGGCAGAAAGAGCTGGATATAAACATAAGCCTATAACAGCATAACTACAAAGAGAGCTCAGGGTAACTTAAGCAAATTTAATTGTAAATTTCATCAAAATGTAAGCCAAGTCTTAAAAGTAGACTTGGCTTACAAGTCTGGCTAAAATAAAGCTTTTATGTGACATATGGAATGTTTTTCTCTGTGTGCATTTAGATCTTTATGAAGTATGGCCGACAACGATGGAAACTGCGAGGAAGGATAGAAATCAATGGCAAGCAGGTGTGGGACAGTGAAGAGACAGTGTTTCTCCCTCTCATTAACGAGTTCCTCTCTGTGAAGGTTGGTGACTGGAGATTAACTCTGGGTAGTGGTGGTATTAGCTGCTCTAGTCTTACAGTATAAACATTGAGACCTGAATGATCATCTGGTCAATGAATCAATCAATGAATCATCTCTTTTGTTTCCTAGGTGACAGAACTGAAGAGCTTAGCCAATCACGTGGTCGTAGGGAATGTTTCCTGTGAAATGAAAGACCTGTTTGCTCCACTCACCCAGGTGGTTGCTGTGGATATAAATGACCTTGGCACTCTTAAACTTAGCCTTGAAGTTACCTGGAAGTAAGTTGAAAAGTGAAAAAAACTACTAATGTACTTGGTAGTTCATTTGGTTCAGTTATGAATCTCTTTAACAAGGTTATCTTCTTGTTTTTATGTGTTTTATTTTGTTTCTCTAATTCTCACAATGTTCTCCTCAGTCCATTTGATAAAGATGATCAGGCTGGTCTTGTCAACAAAACACCAACAGTTTCATCAAACATCCTCAGACAACCAGGGACACCACCTGTACGCAGTCAACCCTTCCCTGTAGGTTTTTCCCTTTCTTTAAATCGTTAGTCTCAAAACATTGTCTGGAACAGTTTATAGAAAATGAAGTGTCATAATGAAAACATTTTAACAACATCCTTGGGCTTAAATTTCTATTTGGTTTGCTTCTGGTCCTCATTTCATCTACACAAACTTGCTAAAAGTTTGATACCGGAGTGATTTTGTGATGACTTCCTGAAGGTGGAGTTTCAGAAAAAGCAGGACTTTCTTAAAGAGACAGAGGCCCAATTTCAATATGTTTAATTAGAAGATGTTTAATTACACAAACATGCTGAATATATTTGATATATTCAACATTTTCATAATAACTGAAGGTAACAGTTACTTGATTTGGATATAAAAAGGTAGCTATGTGGCTGGAAAATACATAACACTGCCCCTTTAAATAGGTTAAAGAATCACCAACATGATTCTTAGTTAAATCATCTTCACCAGCAGAAGTAAGAGCCCATGGTTCAGACAGAAGTTGCTGTGAGTAAGCAGCAGCTGGCTCCTAACTGTTCCAACACTCTTTGCTCCACCTGCTGCCTCTTGGATGTGCAGTCTCTGCCACAGTGTCCACCAAGGCAGCAGCACTGGCCTCTCATGGACATCTTCAGGGGAACACTTACCCAGAGCTGCCCCTGTCGGGATAATTCACCAGAAACACTAAGTGCAGTAAGTCTTTAGAAGCCCACCCTCAGAGCAGACACTAGTAGCCGTGTAATATAGACTGATGCTGCCAATAACTGTAGTTATGATTGCTCAGCACTTTACAGAGAGATGACAAATGGATATGACTTCCAGCTCAGGAGGGCTGCTTGTTATATATAATTGAGTGGACAAAAACTAAGATTAAAAATAGACTCCTTCAGTGAATACAGATATTTTTAGAGAACAAAAATCTCTCTCAAGCACATTTTTTAATGTGCTTGGACACTGAGAGAATTATAGGTGACAAAAAGAATTTAAACAGAATTATAAACTTAGCAGGAGCTGGTTGATAAAGGTCAGGATGGAAGACATGTGCTCCATCACTGCAGAACTACTCAGTCCAGCTATACAGATGAAGCTGCACACATCAGACCAGCTTTCTGACTGCTCTTCTCTTTCAGATCCCTGACGACAGTCCAGATGTACAAGTAAAAGAGCCACCATGGTCAATCTCAGACTCATCTGATGACTCCCCCAGTCGTCAGTCATCTGTGCCGGTGGAACCCAGCTCTCCACCTCTCATGGTAACACACAGAAGATTTTATTGAAGTTTTCCAGGTCATGCTTGTGGTTAGCTTTCACAGTAGTGTTAGGGTTTTAACATTTCTTTTATTAAAGAATTCAAGATCCTAATAAAATGACTATTTAGTTAGAATATGAAATTTTATTTAGCATCTTACATTAGTGATAATTACTGTTATGTGTTGCTTATTGAACAACATTTATCTCGATGTGTATTGTATGAAGAAGGAAACTCTCAGAGTTCAGCTTCTGCATTGTAAGATTCCCAATAGGTTACCACTATAGTCAGAAGCTAACTAGGAACTACTTTACTGTAATCTATTTAGCCTTTCTGCTAGCTGCTGGCAGAAAGGCTACTCTCTTACTCTCTTCCCATCTTAATAAATAGCAGACAGGTATCAGATAATAACCTACTGGTTCTTTTAGAATAGCTCCTTACATCTCTGTGATTCCTCTGAATTATTTAAACAGCTCTCTAATAGTGAAAATTGCTAACTTAGCTATGGTGTATGCACCATTAATAATGCTCCACAGTTATTAATTATTTAGTAATGTGTTCATTGACCAGAAAAAGATAGGATTTTCAAGTTTCCGACTGGCTTGTAACCTTCAGGACAATTGCGGCCAACAACCCATTTCTATGAAGAAGTGGTTTTGACATTTGACTAGTAACCACATGTCTGTTTTTTGCTCCAGGGTGGGTTAAGGACCTCAGGAACCGAAACTGAATCATTTTCTTCTCCACAGCCTGAGGTTCAATATTATCCTCCTCCAACTGAGATTCTCAATGGGAGTTCCACTTTAAAGTCTTCCAACATCCAATTTCCATATGTAGCCGACAGCCCCAGGCATGTTTGATGTTTTTTGTTATTGTTATTGTTTATATGTTTATTACGTGAACTTACATAAACCAGTCATTTGGGTGATGTGATTTTTAAATAATTTTATAAACTAACATAGTAACTACTTTGCAGGAAGATGGAAGAGGAACCATTAACAAATGGCCTTCTTGAGGAGCTGGATTTGGTGGGAACCATTAGCCCCAGCCCAGGACACGGGCAGTCTTATGCTCGCTCTCTGAGTCACATCAGTGAGAGTAGCACCGATGGGTTTGTGGATTCATCAGTCTGCGATTCAGGAGACGTAACCTCTCTGATGTCTGGGATCTCTATGAATGATATAGAGATCTCCCTTAGAAGATGTGAACCAGCAAGCCCCTCCCTCATGCACACTGACATTCCACCAAGCCTCTGTGTTGTGGAGGAAATCCCAAATGCCAATCCCCTTCCTGAGCCATTCATTCATCCACATGAAGAATCCTTTTTTCCCCAGGTGGAGAGGGATGAGCTAAACAGATTTTATCCTGACTTAGAGTACACAAACCCATCCACAACCAGCAGAAATGGGACCTACAGAGCTCAAAAAGTGTTGGTGACAGAGGACAAGCCATGTGTGGGAGCAAGTTGGTTACCGGGAGGGAGTGACAGTCTGGTGGACAGTGAGCTGGAGAATGCCCTGGAAATTCTTCTTTCCTCTCTGGATGATTATAGAGGACAGTTTCCAGAGTTGCAAACACTTGAACAAAACCTAAGGCTCCTGCAGGTAACTCTGAAGGTAAGCATGGAAAACTTGAACATGTCTGTAGAGACGAATAGGATACTGTAGCTCAGAACTGTATGCAGCAAAGTCCTGTTGTTTTCATCAAATTACACTTCCCTTTATTTGAAAATCTATACATGACTTTTACTGCCCAAGTCTTCTTGGTTTCTTGTAAAAAGGTCTAAAATGAAAACATGAATAAAGAAATAGACTTAGACTTAGACTTGTACTTTATTGATCCCTTGGGAAGACTCCCTCAGGAAATTAAAGTTACCAGCAGCTCACAGGCAAAAAAGTGGCACACAGTAAGCATACGCAAAAGAATACAAAAATACAAATTAAATACAAGGTACACAGTAAATGTAATAAGAATATAAATACAAAACAAAGAATATAAATACAACACAAAATGAAAATATAGGAATTTGGTGGATAGATTGATCAGTGATATGGTATTGCACTGTATGGTTAGGCCTGATAAATATGGAGAAATATATTTTTGTTTTATTGATGATGAGCAGGTTTAGTCATAACTTGTAGCTATTTAGTGCATAGAGACATGTCATACTTCCAGTCTGCTCCTTTTGCTCTGGGTCAGATGGCTTAAAGAAATCGAATAAACCTTGCTTACAGGACAGACGGATTAGGTTGTTTAGAAGAGAATAAAGGTTTGCACGTAAACGCCCTGAAAGAGGAAATTCTATTTTAAAACAACATTTGGCAAGCTAATAGTCACATGCCTGATAATAAAACTGATAACATGAGCTTCTTTTACATGTGTACAAAGAGCAGAATGACAGGATGGTTTCATATTCAGAAAAAAATGCCCTTGAAAATTACTTTAAAATTGAGACAAGATTTTTGCAGCACAAATGAAAATGTATTTTGAAAATCTGTAATTGACTCTTTTCAGTCCAAGTTTGAGTAGTCCATGTGTTGACATTTTAATGCTTATCTAATGAGGTGCTGAAAACCTAAATAAGTATTCAAAATGATACGTTTGGGGTTTTATAAATAGAATAAAATCCTTCATCTTAAACTGTTGTTCAAATCCCATTTGAGCAGAAATATCAATTTTGAACTGCATATGATCAAATGAACTGCTTTTTCATATAATATTGCTTAATATAATATTGCTTCAGCATAGCTAGCAGCTAACAGTTAGTCAGTCACTGTAATCTTCATATCCATTCTGACAGAGTATAAAGTAGCTAAAAATGTTGCCAAAAAAACAATTTATAATTGTTGTTGGCCAGCCTCTCAGACGTTCCCAGCCTCTCAGACGTTTTATAATTAATTATGTTGTTCAGTCAGGTTTAATTGTATGGCACTTTCCAGCAACAAGGTGGTCCAAAGTGCTTTACACCATAAAAAAATATAGTAACCAATTATGAAACAATTACTAAACATTACATTTTGTCACTATTAAACTCATCAAGCAAATACACATCAAATTTATTGATCAAATTCCAGTTATGGTTTTAAAGCAGTTCTAAGTAAATGGATTTTAAGCCTTGATTTAAAAGAACTCAGTATTTCAGCAGTTTTGCAGTTTTCTGGAAGTTTGTTCCAGATTTGTGGTGCATGAATGCTGCTTCTCCAGGTTTGTTTCTGATTCTGGGGATGCAGAGCAGACAAGAACCAGAAGACCTGGGAGTTGTGGAAGGTCAATAAAACAACAGCAGATCTTTAATGTATTGTGGTGCTAAACTATTCAGTGATTTATAAACTGACAACAGTATTTTAAAGTCTATTCTCTGAGCTACAGTGAGCTCAGCTGACTGAAGCTGCATACTGACTCTAGATTGTTCGTCTTTAGGTTTTGTCTCTGTTCTGCTGGAGAAAATTATGACACATCTACACATTTATCTGTTCTAAGCATCTGTTCAGTGCTTAAATGATTCAGTGTCATCATAATGTAGAGGTGTGTAGCATCTATGTCATGGTAGATGACATAGATGCTACACAACTCTAGGACTGTGGATCAATCCAATAATGCATTTTCCTTATAAACACAGCACCATCGAAAGGGAACTAAAGAAGCTGTCAGAAGCCATATGTTTTCCTTTTGGCTTGCTTCATCTTTTAAAATAAATTAGCATTTGTCAATGCTGTCACACATTTTGTCTAGGATTTCTGTGTTGATTATTACTGAACTGTGTATGTTAAATTAAAATCAAAAGCTGCTTTGTTGATAAACTAACTGAAACATGGAAGCTTGTGTCATAATTCTGATTCTCTCTACGTGCGCATACGTGTGTGCGTGTCTAGGGGAGCAGTCACAGCCGGTCGGCCAGCTTGGCCAGCCTCTCAGTGGAATCAGCTTTGGGCAGCTTTGACTTTCTGTCTGACTGTGAGGAAGATGAGGAGAAGATGAGTAACAGGAGGATGCGGAATGGCAGGTCAGTAAACACATCACAATGTGACAACAACTCTGATTGTTGTAAAAAACAAGGACAAAGAATGAGTGAACATGGTATTAATCAACATTATGCCTTATAGGCAAGACAATAGGTTAAGATATTTGAATGCTCATAAAAAAAGTGTTGAAAAAAGAAAGTCTAATGAAACCTCACGTCTTAAATGTTTTTTTCATGTAAAAGCAGATAATATATAAATTCCCAGTCCACACAGACACTGGTGAAATGTCATTTAATGACAATTTAAGGATCATTCAGCTTCCATGTAACTTATCTGTGAAGCAGTGCTACTTTGATACATAATGTTATTGCAGAATTAGTCTGCCACCTAGTGGATCTAAGTAATATTATAAATGAAGCAGGTGTGGCATTAGTTTAAGCATGAAAGCAGTTTATTTTAGAAGTACTTTGGAAATGTTAAGCAAATTCTGTCTTCAGTTTGCAGACTCTTCATGTTAGTTACATTATTGTGCTCTGTTCAGTTCCTGGTACTGGACTGAGCTCATGACATCATCAGTTTCATACTACTGTCACCTTACTAAAGAAAAACATTTCAGTGCCAAATCTTTGTAGCATATTGCTATAAAAGATGCAGTTATGTAAATGAATGTTCTGTCTTTTTGTGTTAATAATGGTCCAAGAAGAAAAGAGCTCAGCCATGATCCCTTCACATTAAAATTTCCCCAGTTGCAAGAAAATCGCTGCTAAGAAAGTTGCAGTGAAAGAACATTGTTTTGGATCATCTGAACATAAGTGTCAAATTCACTGTCATTTCGGGCCACATCAAGATCCCAAGTGTTCTAAAGCAGCTGGTTGTGGAAGAATGTATAGATAAAACTACCCATTAACAAACTATTAAAATGTTATTAAATATCTGTCTCTGCATTTGATGAGTACTTCTTAAAAATAAATCTTGAGCGTATTTTCACATAAGTTATGGCAGGTCACTTTTGTGCCCCAGGCCTCGAGTTTGACATATCTGATGCATAACATCAGGATTTGTGTTGTTTCTACAGAGTTTCCTAATGTTCAGTTTAAGGTCATGTTTGCAATCCTGGCAGATGAAGTCTTGGACAAGAATGATTGAATGAAATTGTGTTAATTTTGCAACCACATGCACAGCTGAATATAACCATAATAGGATTATTTTGCACAAAATATAAGGTAAAAAAAAAATTTCCTTAAGCTATTGCTTATAATACCAAAGAGTTACATTTAACTCTTTGTAGCTACACTTAGTGTTTAAAAATAAAACTACAAGAGATAGTGTGTCTGAAGTGACACAATAGAAGACAATATGTTGATATCAGAACTTATTTGCAAAAGGCACAAATGCATGTGGGTATGATTTGTTTTGGATGCAATGTGAGGTAAATACATTTAGACACCTGTCTTCTTAAAATAAAGGCCTTCTGTCCAAGACAAACATGCATCGGCAGCAAGAGCTGCAAACTACCTCATTCAGAAAGATCCAATACGTTTACAGGCTCCAGAGGATGAACACTCACTGCAGTGGTTTCTGGGTCTGCCAGGGGTCTCCTTTCAGTAGGAAATCTGGAAATCCTCTAAAGGAGTCATTCTGATCAGATTTCCAAAGCACCTCAACTGCCTCGTTTCAATGAGGAGGATCAACAGCTCAACTCTGGGCCCCTCCATAAGGACTGTTTCTGCCCCTTGTATCCAGGATCTCTTCTTTGGATCAGAATTCATAACTCCTGACTATAGCTGAGAGCCAGAAAGTAGATTTTCTTGTGCATTGAGAGCTCTTACCTTTTTGACTGTCAGTAGGAAAACCACTGTTCTGGTTTCCCTACTGACAAGCCAGAATAGTGGTTTGTCAATTTATATCAAGACACTCCAGCTTTAAAAGTTCTCTGGAACATTGGTTGAAAATTGTATTGTATTGTTAGTCACTTACCAATACACCTTTGTGTCGATTACTTTGTCTTGTATCGATCACTTTGTCCTGTTAGGGCTTTTTATCTTTACTATAACACTGAGCTTAAAAAAGAAGCACAAAAATACTCAACATCTGAGATCTGATCTATAGTAAACTATATCTCTTTAGTACTATCAAAACCATGTCACTTAGAATGTTCTGTGTTTTTGTCAGACAAGAGCATGGAGGCTGGGACAGTCCTCCCCTCCTCCATTCACCTCTCACCACCAGCTGTGCCACTCTGGACTCCTCCCTGGTGGTCCATCTGAAGAACTGCACTACACAGCTTTTGGTATGTGTTCTGAACCTTTCACATTCTGTTTTTACTGCATTTAGATGTTCAGGGCTTCGCTCTAGAAACAGTGTTCCTGTAGAGACTAGAGTATCGTTAATCATTAAAGATACTCTTGTCATCATGGAGAGTAAGACATATTGCTTTGTTTATAGACCACTACTAAATCAAGTAAAGCAGTTAAAAGACATGGTTGTATTGGACAGAATGTGGATGGAATTTATACCTCTGATGTATATAAGGATCTGCAAGGAACTGCTAATTGTAGATCAGGCACTTAAGGGTTCAAGTGGTGCCCCTATGAGTGCAGTGATGTTTTTTCAGCCCTTGTGCTCTATTGTTGGACTGTCAGTCAAAATCCAATGTCTCTGATTGGATTGAATAAAACTCATAGATGCTAAAACAGCAGTTTGATATAAGTCTTCTTGTGGGTTTGCATGTGACCAGGTACAGTAGAGTTTCACCCTGCCTCATGCTATCGGATAATGGGACCACTATCAAACTCTATACCCACTGGTGTGTCCTTAATTTGAGGCCATGTTCCGGTTTAAACTGGATAAGTGTCTGTACTACCGTCCCCACACTGATGAGGCCATACCATGCCGGTCAAATCAAATAATTCCTTCTGGGGCTGAACTGTTTATGTCTCTGATTGGATTTGTGATCAAACATGCTTTAAAAGTCACTGTGTTAGTAAAAATAGATTCAGTTCAAACACCCCAGAGGGTTTTGCTTCAAAGATAATATAAAACCTGTTTTGTTCCTGTTGGTGTCTTGGTGTGCTGTGTATATAGCGTCTTGGCACATTTGGTCCCCTGCGCTGTGGAGAGATGTACGCCTTAGATAAACTGCTGAGAGAGACACGTGTTTTTGAAATCATCCTTCGAATCGTTAAGGACAACCCCAATCGGCCCAGGCAGCCTGCTGAAGGTAAGTTATGGTGCAACCTCATGGATTATAACTTTTAATTTAAAGTTCCACACAACAGCTTCATGCCCTGTGATGCCCTGTGATCCACCTCAAACTTGAGGCAAACTGTACTGATATTTGAGATGAGTCCATTTTTTCCAGCTGCTAATAGGCTAACTGACAAATCCAGATCTGAAATATAGTATCACACAGACATTTTTAACAATGAATTTTTTTTTGTTTGTTTTAATCATCTTAAAGATGAAAATTGTTAGTTGATGGAGAGTTTAAATGCTTATTTCCTGATCCTGCATGGCTCCGAGACCATTGCTAGAACAGCTGGAACATCTCAGACAGGTGGGAAAAAATGATTGAGTGATAAAACATCAACCAGAATTTAGGCTGTTATTCAATCTAAGGTTGAAGGTATTCAGCCAGGGAGCCAATTCCCCCCAATGCAGGTAAAATTTGCTTAGTGACCTCAAACCGCAATTTCCAGCTGGTTTATTTTTTCCTTGATGCAGGAATCACTGCAAGGCACAGATGTCTAACAAACAAAACTAATTTCACTTTGTTTCATCACAGACAAGGTTTGATAATAAAGCATTTAATTACATCAATTCACTGATATTTATTGGTCATGATGAGTGGACCCAAATGAAGCAGGCACTGCAAAACAATCAAAGTGTTAAAATCAGGCATTAATGAATTAAATACTATAGTGGGAATTTGACAGAGCTGTTTACAAACCTTGAAGCACTGAAACAAAAGTGGAAATAAGGGTGAGCCAAAATCTGTCTGCAATGATCCAAGTGACTAATAGTCAGAGAGCAACTGCTGCTAAAAGTGGTTCTATAAGATGTTGAATTATGAATGTGAAAACTGTTGGGGCGTGCTGTGGTGGCGCAGGGGGTGAGCACGCCCCACGTTTGGAGGTCTTGGTCCTCGACGTGGACGTTGTGGCTTCGAGTCCCGGTGAGCTTTGCCACATGTCTTCTCATTGCCCTAATTCATGTCTGCCTACTGTCAAAAATATGAGCCACTAGCGCCACAAAGACTCTTCGGAGAAAAAAAAAAAAAAAAAAGGAACTGTTGTACCTGCCGCTTTTTTTTGACATTTTTGGCTTTGTTGACTGAATAAATGCTGGAATCTGTTGTGTATGATGATCTACCTGAAGACCCCTGCGAAAGACCAGGTCTTAAACCTTCAATTTGGAAGAGGGTGTACTTTCTTTTTTCAGTGAGTGCATGCTCTCTACATGAAGAAGAAAAACTTTTGCATCTGGTTACATACAACATCTAACCAGATTTTCCAGAGGATCAGCCTGAGTTCCAAATGGTTTCTTATTGTATCAAATTGGCCAGCTAACCTGCTGCTGTCCTGCTTCCTGTTCCAGTGATACCAGAGCTGGGCCACTGCTTCGGTGCTCTGTCCCTCTGGGAGCAGAGTACAGAGTATGGCACTGTGTACTGTGTCTCTGTTGAGAACTTTCTCTCCACTTTGTCTACATCATACTCCAGCATGCCTCATGGAAGGGCTGATGCAGGTACAACAGAATGCATGCAGAAAAGTCTATTTCAGTGTCTCTGTGCATGTTCTTACTGTGCTAAAAGCTGTTTTTTGGGGCGGTTCAGTGTTCTTGTACCTAGTTGAGCAAATTTTGGATCAGAGGTTACCACGACGAGGCAACACAGGCAAAGGAGTTATCACAGTGTTTCAGCTGTGGAGTTACTTGGAGTCTAACGGGATCAGTGACATGGAGATGCACATTTCTGAGTTAGCAGAAGAGGGTATGCGCACACACATACACACTCGCGCGCACACACACACACACACACACATGCATGCTTACTGACAAACAGACGATAAATTAGTAAGAGGAGCTTAATTGAAAATATAGTGATGTTATGTGAAAATACTGTGAGTCAGAAAGGGAATCTAGTTTCTTAAAAACTGTTTATTTTATGCTACTGTTCCTCTCTAAACATGTGGTAAAAAGACATTTGTTTTGGGCTCAGGCAAGTTCATTTTTGCCACAGTAAACTGAGATAACTTACCTCAGTATTGCTATGGGAATAACCTAAAGCTCATAAAATAAATTATCTGCTATTTTCTGAAATCTTGTTCATTCTGTGTGTAGATGAGAGGAACCAGTAACTTTGTCAAACACTATGTGTTCTGAATTAGAATAAAATTTCACAGTAAAATTGTTGCACAATTTTACTATTGTATAACACTTTCCACAGTGTTCCTGGTGCAGAGCCTCAGATCCACCGACCTGGATGTGATTATGAATACTTTGAGACGGCCTCCTGAACGCAACCTGAGGAGAGGAGAGCTCCATGCTCTTGCCAAGTTATTGAAAGATCCACGAGGCAAAGTGTCAACATCTGCCAGCTCTTTACTGAGAGGCCTGACTACTCAGCCCACACAGAGAGAACAGGTGATGGATGGATGGATAGATGAATGGATGGATGGATGGATGGATGGATGGATGGATGGATGGATGGATGGATGGATGGATGGATGGATGGATGGATGGATGGATGGATGGATGGATGGATGGATGGATGGATGGATGGATGGATGGATGGATGGATGGATGGATGGATGGATGGATGGATGGATGGATGGATGGATGGATGGATGGATGGTCTGTAACTGTGAAGTGGGAGACTTTAGTGTATTTTAGAGTAGAACTTAAAGAGAAAGTCAAAACAACAACAAACTCTAATGGGTGAATGTCTAAATTAATCCAGACTGTAGACAGCATTGCCCAAACTGAACTCTCACTTTTGTGTTTTCTGTCCTCAGGCTTTGGTGCACTGCTTGGAGCTGCTGGAAGATGAAGACATAGACACCAGAGTGTGTGGATGCAAAGCTTTGGCATGTCTCAAGGTACAAGCATAGTGACCCTGCTATGTAGAAGTATTTGTTTCTAACGAAAACACTTTCCTGCACCCACTGCTTCTGCAAATGACTAACAGCTGTCGGAATAAAGGAAACAAATTTCTGTTTATATTGTAGAATCTGAAAATCACTAACAATTCAGTAATTTTAATCAAGTTGAATGGTAAAGGGAAAAGGGTACTCACAGAGCACCTTATATAGAGCAGCTGCCATGCACCAGCTCCACCCTAACTAGCAGGTAAAGTGTGTGAAATATTTTCTCAATGACACAACAATCAGGGCAAGTGTTGCAGGGCTCGAACCAGCAACCCATTGATTGCAAGGCAATCGCCTGATAGTTGAGCCATAGCTCAAACCAGCAACCCATTGATTGCTGATAGTTGAGTCATAGCTCAACTATCCGGCGATGCAGCTTACCTGGATATAAATATGAATATTAGAAAATAAAACACATTTTGTGCATCATCAAACATCAAACCTGTTTGATGTTGCAGTACATGTGTTTTTTACAGAATACAGAACACTGTAAAGAAGTTCTTTACAGTACATGTGTAAAGCAACATAACACGCAGTTGAGTTGTTTTCGTCGACACAACTGCACTATTTTGAAGAGTATGACATCCTGAATATAAAGGAGTAAACTGAGAGAAGGTATTTTTAAAGTTATTTTTGGCTCAGGTAGCCTTTATTTGAGAGTAGTGAGACAGGAAAGTGGGTCATGAAAGAAGGGGAAGACATCCTGCAAAAGTCATTAGGCCCAAAATTGAACCTGTGACGAACACGTCAAGGAATAACGTGAGTTTTCCTTAACTACAGTATCATCATCATCATCATCAGTATCATCATTCCTTAACTACAGTATCATCATCATGACTCAAGCTTCACCCTGGTGAAGCTTGAGTCATGACTTCAGACAAATACAGCATTGAACTTAATTGTTTCAAGTAAAGTTAAAGTAAAAAGTTCCTTTAAGTTAAAAAAAGTGTTACTTCTAAGTTAATTCAACTCAAAAAATTAAGTAATCACCTCTAAACCAAAATAATGAAGTGTGATCAATGTACATAAGTCCAAAACATGAGCTACAGCCCAAAAACACTTTTTAGAGTGTAATCACTACATCCCATGTCAGAGTCTCAAAGCCAACTTTTTGCTCCAGAAGTCAATTGTTGTGACGCTGTCACTCTCTCACTGGGTGACTCAGATGAGTAGCACCAGCAAGTTGACCTCAACCTGTTTTTGCAGAATGACACCAAAAGGTGTCTAAGTCCTGCTTGAAATATTTTGTAAAACAGGCCTTTCTCTTGAACTTTAAACCTCAGTGTACTCAGTCATTCCACTCATCCTCCATCACCACTGCTTTTTATCCCAGTCATCCTTTTCTCTCTTTTTCCCTCCAGGCTAAAGAAAGCATTGAGCAGCTGGTGTATATTTGTCAGACAGACAAGGAAGATGTCCGAGATGCTGCCAAACAAACACTGCTGACACTGGGTAATTTGAACTACTTTATTCCCTGGAAGAAAATTGTTTTAATTATGTTCCTATATGATTGCCTCAAGAGGCTTTTCAACTCTACAGACAAAAGATGAGCTGCTGAGCGGAAGAAATATTCGAGTTACGTACAATCAAAAAGAAAGAGTAGCTAACTTAAAAAATTAGATAATGTCCCTTTTCTGAGAACTGTTTTCACTCTCCCATGATATCAAATGACAGTGATCTTCTGTAATCACTGTCATTTGACGGTGATTATAGAGTTTCAAGATTTCTGAATCTCAGTACTGGATCAAGTCAAATAAGTCTTAGAATCTGCAATGAGGTTTCATGTCTTTGTCGTTTACCCATTTAGTTTTTTTGTTTGAACCATACATGGTATGTTGTATGTCACATTTAAGGTGGAAAAAAACCTTATATTTGTCAAAGTTTTACATAAGAATTTGCCAGTTTGCCAGGGTTGCCATCTTTAAACTTTAACAAAAAATACTCATAAGGATAGCACAATAATTTCATCACAAATTCTTTGCTTTGCTGTTCATTGTTGCATGTTATGTATTTTGTGAACAGGTGAGGAAGGAAAGATGGCTTACAGACATGTGGAGATATCTCAGGACAGCTTGCCGAGACTTTTTGCTCCAGGAAGCATGGCCAGCACAGCCTTCTGACCAGACACAGCCACTGACAGTCCCAGCATATCAACCACATGGCATTACAGTATCTACTGTGTCCATCAGCTAATATGGAGGACTAGCTGTAACTTAAACCTTTATTTAGCAGTCATCTATAGTTAGGAGTTCTTCAAACAAATTGGTCACAAATGATGACATTTCTGAAATATGAGCTAAATTGATAAAGAAATGAAGTTCAACCTTCATTATACAGTATGAAGAACTTTTACAAAGTGTTACCCAAACACATAGAATGGAGTCCAGTAAAGGCTCCATTTAGTAAGTTGTTGTTGCTCCTCGTTTCTGTAGGAAACCAGTTGTGGCCACATCAGGCTTCAGATTTCTGTAGCCATGGTGACTGATGCATACAGACCGAATGTAACCATGACGAGAACTGGCTCCATGGAACCTGCATCATCTGCCATGTGGAGTGAACATTTGAAACAGAACTCTGGTGGTCTGCAGAAAACAGCAGGCCTTCATTCCACTTCTAGTGGTATTAAACAACAGCCATTTCTGAGGAAAATTACACAGAATAATCAATTGGTATTAAAACAGTTATTGATAAATACTTTGTATACTGTTTCTTGTGGGGTTGCCTTAACTTTTGCTATAATGTCTCTCAGGAAAAGATTATTAATACTGGTAGAAAGCTTTAGTGCAGTAAAGGTATACCAACTGACATGTGCAAGATCAGAATGTCTGAGTTACAGTTAATGTCTGAGATCTGACTGACAGCTGTCAGCTAGCAGGTTGTAAGGAATAAAGAAGATTAGAGCAAAGAAACAAGACTCACAATCATCAGTCATATCTTGTTCAATATGAGCCAGGACTGAGCATTGGACTGTGGGAACCAGTGGTTGAATCAAACATTTATTTGATTCTTAAGATGTAGATAATTAAACAAATACAATTGAATTATGCTTTTTATTGCACATATAAAATATTCCCCATATTCAGGTCAGTAGTGGCCAAAGACAGAATATTTAAAATAAAGTTGGTGAGTTAACAAAGTTACATCATCAGTAGTCATCATTATGACCCCTTTTAATGCAACTTCTCTTCAGCAACTTCTCTTCTTTATATTCCTTTCTTCACATCTTTATTCCTCAACTCTCTTATTAGTAGATTTTTTTAAGTGACTCCCACAGCCACTATTTGTGACCTTTTTTCATTTGACTGGTTAACATCATCTAGCTTCAGGTTTGTCCAACAAATAAACTGAATGTATAATGTGTTTTCATCCAGACAAGTGGTGTGTGGCTTATAATGATGTGAATTATCCTCCTTTTCAGAATTGTAATACAAATAACTCATTCTGCCAAGGAGGCCTTTATGTTGAATGTTGCTATATTTGAAACAGATTGAAGGAGAGAACGCAGTAGTTTCTGCTGTTGCAGAGTGCCATAAAGTTTTAAATTATTCTTTTGAATGAAGCTCCAATAGAAGTTTATATTGAAGTTTATTGTTCTGTGAATACATGTTTTTGATTTGTGTTGAGATTTATTTGACCAATTTTCTGTAAATGATCTATTGAAGATTAACTGTCCCAGATTACAGCAATCTGCAAACAGGGCAGGGCTTTAAAGAAAAACTTCTATGTTGCTATCTGTTAGCTAAATGTTATAGGAATCATTGTCCTTGAAGGAACCTACCCAAACACACCAAAGCTGTATTACACCAGTGTTTTACAAACAGTTTTAAAGTTTTGTGTGAAAATTATATATTTAGCTTTTAGCATTTTCTTCTGCAATATTAATCTGACATTTTCTAAAGTGTGTTCATTAAATTAAGCAAATAAAAAAAAAGACATGTCAGTCATTAAATTAGTGATGACATTTAATCAGAATAACTGCAAAAACATAAGGGTGCTTCTTTCCTGTGATGTGTTTTTATCTAAGAATTTGTAAATATTTTTCTTATTTTCAGAAAATGATAAGGAATTATTTCTTTTTTTATTTTGGAAACTGGGATTTCTTTCCATTCTGAATGTTGACAAATTGCTGTAAGTTATAGAGTGATGATTGTTCTGTATCTGGCTGTATATGAACTGGATTGGATCACAGATTATTGCATCTTGACAAACATTGTCACAAAAGACTCACTGAAAATGCCAAACTGTGGGACACCAATCAACTCACTTGCTTATCCTAAGTGCAATTTGTTTTGTTAATCTAACAGTAGCATTACTCTGCCTTTTCCTCTGCAATATCACTGCACTGTGAAGTATATTGTTAATATTTTTGATAAATTATATAATAAAATAATGTTCTCACTTTGCCTGTTCTGTTTCTGCTGAAATGGTTCTGATGGTGTGAAAGCATTTATAGATTTTGGAATTCCCTCATTTTATGAGCATTTTCATCAAGTTCATTACGGAATATATTCACGCAAGTAAAATTGATTCCATGAAGGCATCAATAAATTATTTCAAAACATAATAAATACAGTTCTTGTGAACTGTTCCCTGTTCAGTTTTGCTACTTAAAGTAATTGGCGTGTTGATGCTAGCCAACAATCTGTTGCCAAAACAAATTATTTTTCCACCCTTTTTATCATTACTGCAATAAATAACATGAAACAGTCTGGCCTGGGGTCTTTCTGGACTTTGTGTTTTCTCCTTGTCCACAAAGGTCCCCCTGGGTACTCCAGCTTCCTCCCACATGACTGCTATGTTAAATGACCTCAGTAGCTTACCCTTAGGCATGAGTGTGTTCATCCATGTGAGTGAGTGTGTGTTCATGCATGGCTGTTTGTCCTGTGTCTGTGGCTGGCTGGATGGAAATCAAACTTACATTTGTGGCACCATGTCATCTGCTGAAGCTGGACCACTGAGTTTTTCAGGTACTTCTGCATCTTAAAACGTGAGCTCTTCATGTTTTTTTCTGCCAACAAATTTAAGACATTCTTTCATTTTCCATCAGGACTCTACCTCCCCCAACTTTTATCACACACTTCAAAATGTACCAAAAGCATGTTAATCATCATGACAACATCAGCAAGGTGTCCTGGCCTAAATCACGGACTGTTGTCAAGAGGAAGAGGAACTAACAATGCAAGGGACCTGAAGGCTACTATTAAAATAACTTTAGCTTTGTGAACTCATCATCTGAACCACAGGCTGGTTTTGCACATGCAATTCTGCATTCATGCTGTAGTTCAGAAAAGAAAGTACATATACTTGGAACTCAGGTTTGTATGCTTTAGTAAAGATGCATTTCTATATTAGAAATATTTTCTATTGCTCTTATGTGACCTTGACAAGCAGTTAATGAAAACCCTATGTAGAAGCAGCATACATCCTTGATAGGTCGCCAGTTCATAAATCATGCACACACACTCATACCAGCTCCAGGAGTCAAGGGCCGATGTCCTGCAGCTGTCAAATTAGTCTCCGTTTCAACACATCTGAGTCACATAATGAGGTCATTAGAGGACTTTGAAGAACTTCCCTGTATACTCATGAGGTAATTCAGCCATTTGATTCAAATATGTTCAACCAAGACACGTCTAAAAGTCGCTAATCCTGGGTTTTAAATCCCATGATGTAGAGAGAGCACCAGTTAATCTAACAGTCAGGTTTTTGGACTGGGGATGAAATATGATCTGAAAACGCTGCGAATAATAAATCTATTTCAGTTATATTTCTTGACCCTACGTTCCTAAAACAGAGTTACTTTTTTATGATATTCTAACTTTTTGAGATATTCATAAAAACTTGAATATCACATGAAGGCAAGGATACCAATCTCAATTCAGATATTTGGATGCAAGAGCAATCAAAAGTCTGCCCACTATCTTATTTCAATAAGAAAGTCTAACCTTTGAATTGCTACTTTAAAAATAAGGGTAATGACAGAGATGGTAACAAATAGTAATATAATGAAATGAAATCAAAGTTATAAAGTGTTATAAAGTGATATTTATTGGATTTTTTTTTTCTTATATGGTCTCTTAAAATGTATATTCAATGCCTATCTGTGGCTTCATACATTCTAAGCTAAAAACTGGAATTTTCTCTGACAGCATAACTCATCTAAGGAAGAAAGCATTCATTCTTCTCACATTGGGAAATGAGCTTCAATGCGTTTTAACGTTGCGCCCCTCCTGGCCAATCAGGGTGCTGCATCAGTTCCGACACCACCCCCCAGCGGCCGCACAGGCGCACTGAGCGCTCAACTGCCATTTTGTGGCAGAAGCTACTCTGCCAAAGCGGGTGAGGAATTAAAACTAACTGCGAAGAAGCGTGTAGTTTATTCCGAGCTGGTTAAACTTTTTAGTACTACCTCTCTTCTGCCAGGCGGGACCACAGGGAGGAGAAACACTCAGAAACAGGTAGAGTACCACTACTTTTCTGACAAGGGGGGGAGTTTGCAGGATCTTTAACCGGCCTCTAGGTGTCACGATGGGGCTCTGGATCCTGGCAACTCGTGGAATGGTGTTTGTCTCCCTCTATCGTTTTTAAAAGATCTGTCGAAATATGGTAAAACGCCCATGGATGTTAAAAATGTACAAACGATCAAATCTATTCGATGTGTAGTTGTATTTTTTCAGCACGAGAAAGCGGATAATTTGTCGAGTTCACTGGAGAGTTCAGGCCAGGGCGTCCATTTTCTAGCCTCTTTGTCTCGCAGTTGTACAGATCTCCAACGACGTTGAAGCTAGTGTCCTAATTGAAGCTACGGATTTGCCACTGCTGCAAAAGGGATGTTACCTTCTTTATGTATTTATCCTCTGATCACTTATATTTCACAGTCTAAAATACGTAGGATGACCATACACTGGCTTAGTAATTCTAAAGCAGCTACAGATTAAAAGCATTAAATCACACTCAAAAGGTTTTTGACATTATTTTGTTATAAGATTAATTATATGAGGTATGTTATGTATCTAATCTATGTTATCATAATTCTAGTAAGGGTAAGCATGGACAAGGTGGACAATGCTTACCCTTATCCATTACAAATAGTTTTTCTTTATCGTTGTAGAATTATTCAGCTTAGGGCGCATTGTGTACCTGCCAAATAATAAACAATAAATAGCTTTAAAGAAATGACAAATTGTGTTTGAAAAAATCTGCTGGTTGGTTCAAAGTAAATTCCTTCAGGTTTAGTCACTAGTTAGTCCAGTTCATAAAAACGAGGAAATAGCCGATTCAGACGCTAACTTCGATTCCTTTAGCTGCTGTTAGCTTGTTGTGTTAGCTCATAGTGAAGGCCCCTCTCGCCCTTCCGAGTCTTAAAATATGCAAGAACTCCCAGTGAGCCAAAACACTTTAATTCGATGGAACATGTCATTTTAAAATGAAGCAATGTTGAAGTTACGCCCAGCTTAGCGCGCCTCCCCGACGGCAGCATCCGCTCACGGTCACGGTGAGATCCGAGCGGAGCGCGGAATGGCGACGCTCTGCCTGCTGGAGAATCCTCCCACTGTTACTCCGATCGATTGCACAACTTAGCGTTTCATAAAATCTCCCATCTTCCTGCATCCAGACTTGGACCCTGGTTGTTTTCTGTCCATGTGTGACGAGCTCTGTCTGCTTCTGTTGCTAACGCACCAGCCGCCCGCTTGTCTCTTATTCTGAGCCCACCTAGAGCCTCATGGCCACAGATCTCTGTTACAGCAGAGAGCTCCCTCTACGACTCGGCTCGGAGAGCTACAAAAATACCGCTGTTTAAAAGCAGCACTTGGAGGCAACAGCTGTCCCAGCCTGGATCAGTATCGTTTTGGGCTAAATTTCTACCTGCAATCAAAGCAGCTGTGAAGGCCCACACATCAGAACCTGAACCAGAACCTGTCCAGCCTGCTGCTCTAAGGCAGCATCTTCATAGGTCGCCATGAAGTTTACATAGACTCACATGTTTGTGCAGTTTTAAAACTCTATGACTGAGAGGCAGTCATAGAGTATTAATAGATCCATATTTATTAAAATCAGACATATATGCTTTTTGTCCATGTTCAGAATAAATACTGCTTTTGTATGGTATTGTTTCAGTGTTCTGGGTTCTGACTTACCACATGGTTTTCTTTAGCTGTGTGTTTGTTGCCAGTAAGCTTCTACTGTTTATAGAGAATTTAAGGAATGGTTCATTGTAGAGTAAAGTTATCAGGAGCCTCAGGAAGAAAACCAAACAGCCTGAAACCCAGATGAATATTATGATTTCCTAATATAGACAATCAAAGTTTGAATGAATCTGAAAGGCAACTTGCCAACAGGCTGTGTCTGGTGAAGTGCTCTGCACTGTGATCCACTGGTTTACCTTTCTATTACTTCCGTTGATATTGACCACTCTTTCATGGGCCTGGATAAAGGACCTCCTTACAAACTGACTCCAGACTCTACTTCACCAGCACACTGAGCATCACCTCCCCACAGGGCTGTGTGCTGAGCCCCCTCCTGTATCGTCTCTACAATCTGGCCACAACAGCAACCACATCCACTAACTCCCCGTCCCCGGCCCCCAACACAGATAACAATGTTCTTCTTTGGTGTTTTTAGCAACCTGTGCTGCAACCATCTCCAAGTAGTTTTCCTCTCTTCTCTGTGTTTTAGTTGTTGCTAGACATGGATGGCAGCTCAGCAGAAGCTGTGGGGCAGATGGACACCCCCCCTAAAGACTTCCCATCCATCCAGGCTGTCCACAGCCAGGAGGCCCTGGTGGTGGATCTCCTCCAGCAGGCAGCGGAGGCCGGGGGCGTGGTGCAGGGACCGGCGGCTGTCGTACTAGAGCAAGGTTCAGTCTGAGCTTGTTCTGCCTTGGTTCTGTGAGGATTTTATACATGGTTGATGTTAGAAGTGACTACCTCTCTTGTGTCTCCAGCTCATGTAGAAGGAATGGTAGCAGCTGCTCAATCCCAGCAGGCGCTGCTGGAAGCTGGGGTTGGGGTGAGCGTACAACGTGGAGAAGTAGAAATGATGGTCATGGATTCCCTGGATCCCACCCTGATGCAGATGAAGACTGAGGTAGCAGCAGGACAAGAAGACATGTCATGTCTTTTATTTATTTTTATTATTTTTTTTTGACACTGAAAATCACAAAGGCTTCTACAAAAACCCCAATAAAAGTGTTTATTTTTCAGGTAATTGATGCTGCAGTTGGGGGTTCATCAGCTACAGTTGGTGTGGTTGCAGGAGCAGCTCATCAGGCTGCCGTGGCAACAGTGGACCAGACTCAAATCATCACCTTGCAGGTGCCTTTTCACCGTCTATTCTCTCTTAAAGTGTTCCTTCGGTGTCGGTCGGGGAGGCTCATGTCCCTCTGTCCTGTGCTGGGCTGC